CGCCTGTAGTTCTGGCTACTTGGAAGGCTGAGGCAGAAGGATCACTGGAGCCCAGTAGGTTGAGGCTGTGGTGACTGGGAGTGTGCCACTGCACTCCAGTCTGGGCAACAGAGTGAGACTCCAACTCCAGAAAAAAAAGAAAGGCAACTAAAGAACTAGAGATCTCTGAGTTATTTTTAAAAGAAGTCATTTTTTTTTTAAATGAGATAGGTCTCACTCAACACAAGCATTCCAGCTGGTACAATCCTGGGCTCAAGCTATCCTCCCACCTGCATCTCCTAAGTAGCAAAGAATACAGGTGCACACTACCATGCTCAACAATTTTTCTTCTATTTTTTGTAAAGTCAATATTTGCCCATATTACCCAGGTTAATCTTGAACTCCTGGACTCAACCTTCCTCAGTCTCCCAAACTCCTGAGATTATAGATATGAGCCACAATACCTGACCTTTTAAATTGTTTGTAAGGTATAGTGTTTTACTCTAGCACCCAGGCCAGAGGGGAGTGGTACAATCATTGTACCGAGCAGCCTCAAACTCCTGGAGTCAAGTGATCCTCCCACTTCGGCCTCCAAAGCTGCTGAATGTATAGGCACACACCACCTCACCTGACTAATTAAAAAAAATATTAGACATAGGGTCTCACTATGTTGCCCAGCCTGGTCTGAAACTCCTTACCTCAAGTGACTCTCCCACCTCAGCCTCTCAAGTAGCTGGGATTAGAAGTAGAAGCCACCATGCCTGTCTAAAGTATCTATCTTAAAGATGCCAAAGCAGCTAAAGGAGAATAGACAACTAATCAAAAGGAGAAAAATAATGCACAGGGAAAATTAGGTAACTGACAAAGAGATTAAAACTAAAAAACAGAAACAAAGTGTGGAGCTAAAATGCAGATTCACAAGACAAAGTCCATAGCAGACTTGATCTAGTAGAAGAAAAAAGCAGCCAGCTTGATAATACATAATTCAGTATAGGGTCAAGAGGGCAGAAAAGAAATAAGAGAGAAGAAAATAGAGCTTAGAAAACTTATGGGATACCACCAAGTAGGCCAATATATTCATAATGGGAATTGTAGAATGAGAAGAGAGAGATAATAAGTGAACAGGACTTACTGAGGACATAATAAAAGATGGCCTAAAGTTTAAAAAAATTCAACCAACTCTACTAGGAGGAATAAAAAAGAACCCAAAGCAAGATACTTTATCATCAGAGATCCAAAAAATCACAAAAAAAGATACAAAAAAAGAATAATAAAGTCAGGAAGAAAAAATGTGGTATGTAGAAGGCTACATGTATAGGCACAATATTGTGCAGGCCAGAAGGTTGTAGAATCATATGTTCAAAGTGCTAAAAAATGAAAGCTACCAACCAAGAACACTATATTTGTTAAAACTATCATTTAAAAATGTATTGAAGGATTTCCAAATAGCTGAACACATGCAAGTTCCTGAAGGGTGGAACTCCCAGGAAGGGGATGGAAGCTTGGTGCCCCTTCCCCATACCTCACCCTATGTGTAACTTTATCTGTGTCCTTTGCAATATCCTTTATAATAAACCAGTAAATATGTTTCCCTGAGTTCTGTGAGCTGCACTTGCAAATTAAACCGAAAGAGGGGATCATGGGAAAAGCAACTTGAAGCTGGTTGAGCAGAAATTCCAAGGTTTAGACTTGTGACTGATGTCCAGCAGGGTGGGAAAGGGGTCAGTCTTTGGGACTGAAACCTCACCTTGTGAAAATTGGCACTATCTACAAGTAGATATTGTTGGAATTGAATTGGAGGATACCAGCTGGTGTCCACTGCATGGTGGTGGGGACAAACCTCCACATTTCATCACAGAAATCATCTTCTGTGTTGATAATTGTTGTAGTGTGGGAGGCAGAGGGAAAAACATGATTTGGAGCGTTTACCCTAAAGCAACTGGTGATACTGAAGCAGGATTTGCTGGACTGGCTGAGGCTCAAGGAAACACACAGTTTGGAAAAAGAAAACATAAGAGGGTGGGGAATGAGGTACCTTTGATTCTTGGGTGGCCATGTGGTCACTTATGGTATGAAGCATCAGCAGTGCAGAGATTAATTACTAAAGGTAAAAGTTAACAAGGTGGTTGGGCTCAGTGACTCATCCTGTAATCTCAGCACTTTGGGAGGTGAAGGCAAGTGGATTGCCTGAGCCCACGGGTTTGACACCAACCCGGGCAGTGTGGCGAGACCGCATCTCTACAATAAAAAAAAAATCAGCTGGGTGTGGTAGCATGCACCTGTAGTTCTGGCTACTTGGAAGGCTGAGGTGAAAGGATCACTAGAGTCCAGCAGGTCGATGCTGGGGCGGCCATGAGCAAGCGTGCCACTGCACTCCAGCCTGGGTGACAGAATGGAACTCCAACTCAAAAAAAAAAAAGTTAACCAGTGGAACTTAGAGAGTTGGAACTTAGGAATCTAATTCCTGAAAAGTTGAGTCACTGGATGCACAGTAAGTCCCCTAAATATTAACCTTCAAGTTGTGAAATTTCAAAAATGTGAAGAACATACATTTCATGTCCAATCATATTAAGTTTGTTCATATGTCTGGCATACATTGTCATGTACTTGCATTCTCTAAAAGTGGTTGTGCTTTTGTGTACTTTACTGTATACAGTACAGTAGTACAGTATTTTATTTTTATTTTATTTTATTTTTTTGAGTTGGAGTCTCTGTCACCCAGGCTGGAATACAGTGGCACACTCATGGCCACCACAGGCAATCCTTCTGCTTCAGCCTTCCAAGTAGCCAGAACTACAGGCATGCGCTACCATGCCCAGCTGATTTTTTGATTTATTGTAGAGACAAGGTTTCCCCATATTGCCTAGGCTGGTCTCGAACCCACGGACTCAGGCAATCCTCTCACCTCAGTTTCCTAAAGTATGTGCTGGGATTATAGGCTTTAGCCACCACGCCTGGCCTGGTATTTTTATTTCAGGCTTAGGATGTCTGGAACCAAGCATGAAAGCCGCAGTGACATAGATGATACTGCTAAGAAATGCCATATGATAATGATGAAAACAAAAGTAAAAATAATTCAGAGTGGAGCAAGGAAAAAAGACGGTAGACATCACTCACTCTTTTTAATACAAATCATTCGGCCATCAGCATGATTCTAAACAATAATGACAAGAAGTGAACCAAAATATGTGACAAGGACAACATACATGTGAAGTCTGCTGTGCCAATGATGTTGACAATAATATTGAAGAAACATGGAAAAGTGATGAAGAAGATGGAGAAACTTCTTAGTGTGTAGATGCAGGATCAGGATCAGTAACAGTATCGATTCCCACTCAGCTTAATGCTGATTCAAGAGAAAACTAAAAGCCTTTATGAACACTTGAAGAAACATGACAAAGAATTAGAGGTCACATCTTTTAATGCCAGCCACGGATGGGTTCATCAGTTCAAAGATAGAGCCAACCTCTATCTTTGAACATAAACAAAAGTGGGGAGGCACCAAGTACAGATACGGTAGTTGCTCAAGAAATTCTTGAAATATTTCAAGAAACCATTGAGAAAAGTCATGTATTTACCTGAGTAGGTTTTTAATGTGAATGAGACAGAACTATACTGGAAGAAGATGCCAGACCAAAGTTACATCAGTAAAGAGGAAAAGTTGATGCCAGGTTAAATGGTAGCATAGGATAGGCTAACCCTGTTGTTTGGTGGCAATGCTTCCAGTGATATGAAGCTGAAACCTCTCTTAGATTACCATTCAGAGAACCCAAAAGCCCTTAAAAACATAA